TCTAGTTGATAAGAAAGTTTTTCATATATATGTTTGAACAACTTGTTGAAATATCCATTTCTGGGACTTCCCTCGTGGCGCAGTGGTTAAGAATCTGCCTGCCAATGCAGGGGACAAGGGTTTGAGCCCTGGCCCGGGAAGATCCCACATGCCACGGAGCAATTAAGCCCTTGTGCCGCAACTACTGAGCCTGTGCTCTAGAGCCCGTGAGCCATAACTACTGAGCCCGCGTGCCACAACTACTGAAGCCCGCGTGCCTAGAGCCAGTGCTCCGCAACAAGAGAAGCCACCACAGTGAGAAACTCGTGCACCACAACGAAGAGAGCCCCTGTTTGCTGCAACTAGAGAAAGCCCGCACGCAGCAACAAAGACCCAATGCAGCCAAAAAATACATAAATTTAAACAAAATTTTAAAAAAAGAAATATCCGTTTGTACTCTTATTTTAGATGACAGCAATGACAGCATGCAACTATATATACTACCATTGTTAAATGGGAAAAGTGTCTGTTTAGCCCGCTGAAGATTTTGGATTTCAGGTTCCCTTGTCTCATTATTGCCTCACTCATGTCTGTTAGTCACAGTCAAACCACTGGCAGTTCTGTCTTCTTGAAAGAAAATTGTTGAGTTGTCATGTCATTTAGACCTGAAAAAAATCTTAAGTGTCACGTTAGCCCAGCCCCCTAAACTATTAGCTTAGGAAATAGAAGCCAGAAAGATGACATGGTGTGTCTGATGCTGCTCTTTGTTGTAGTGGGGAAAGTCACCAGAACTAGAACATGATGGAGCTGAATTCAAGACTCCACTCTTCCATATACCACCCTTCCATTCTTTTGATTTACAGCAAATCACTTTAACTTCTGTGTGTTGGTTTCATTACCTGTTAAAGTAATATAAAAAAATTAAATTTACAAGAAAAAAGCAGAATGAAAGCAATGATAATTACTGCAATGATATTTACTTTTTGTCAACTTATATTTACGATAGACTTACAAAATTGGATGCTTGTAAACTATATTGTACCCCACAAAAATTAAGTGGTCATATTGTGGTTGTTTAGCAGCAGAAGTGGTACTGTTTGGTTTATATAACACTCAACCTACATTCTGGGCAAACATTGTTCCTATGATGTATGGTATAATCATGAAACAGCCATTTTACAAATGAAATGTTATAATAAATCCCTTTGCAATTTAGGCATTTCCTGACGCAATGACCATTCTTTGCTTTTGGCTTTTAGCTGCGGTACATTGGGTTTGTGACTATCAGTCATGCTGCTGGCTCCTGGATGTCTTATGGAGACAGTGGAACAAATGAGTATTTCTGTACTGTTCCACTGAATTTGTGAGAGGTGGCACAGTCTGCAGAGATATCATTATTTGTTCCTATGGAACCATTGATGAAATATTTTAACCCTTACTTCTAATAACTCAGCATTTAGCCTTTGGATCTTATGTTGTCATAGATAATATTATGATCTGAGAAGAAGAAATAAAAGTACTACCGTTATTTGTGATTTCGTTTCTCCTTGCACATAATTTGTGACGATGATTACCAAATGCATCTATTAGGGCCAGGAATGACTATTCCATGAAATGGGGAAAGTTAGATAAGGGGTCAAAGACACTAAGGTACGTAGCTCTTACCCTAGGTCACTGTGTATAAAAAATGATGCCCCAGAAAAGGTTTCAAGGTCAAAGACAGGAAAGTGAATCCAAGATAGATCATCAGTCAGGGAGGTAAGAAGAAAAATCAGATGTGAGGTATGGAGTCAAAGCAAGGCAGTGAAGGAGCCAGGGAAATCAAGAATAAGAAGCAGAAGAGTAGAAGGTATGAGGTGGTCAGTGGTTCTCATACTTTTGGGAGCATCAGAATCACCTGGAGGGCTTATTAAAACAGTAGTGCTGGGCTCAACCTCCAGCATTTCTGCTTCAGTAGGTCTGGGATGGGGCCTGATAATTTACATTTCTAACAAGCTCCCAGGCGATGAAGCTGGTCTGGGGACCACAGTTTGAGAACAACAGTTGTTCTAGATGAATCCCAGAGTAAGTAATAGTGCCTGCAATGACTTCATGAGCTCCCGGGATACTTGGTTGGGCGAGCTGAGTTTGCTTACAGGTTTAGGGACAGAATAGACAAAACATTTTGGCTTTTTTCCTTTCATTTTAATTCACTTTTTAAAAAACATCCAATGCATAACTCAAAGTTATGAGGATATGAACCTCCTTCTGTATTAAAATATAAAATAAGAACTTATATTCTTGCCATTTAAACATAAATCAAAATTATTCCCTCTCTATGAAAAATGACATATTTCATATTTTTATAGTTTAACAACTAGTACAGTGTTCTGGTTAAGAGTGTGTGTGCTGAAGATAGACTGTCTAGGGTCAGATATTGATTTCACCACCTGCTTTGTGCCCTGAGGTCATAAGTTTCTTAAACTCTCTGAGCCTCCTTTGTGAAGTGGGGATATTACTAATTGCATAGAGTTGTTGTGAAGATTAAATGAAATAATTTAAACAACTTATTGGAATGCCTGGCACACAGTTATTGCTCCATAAATGTCAGTTACTATTGGAACACCAAAGTAAATGCCTTCATTCAGGAATGTGACTTTGTATATAACACTTGGTAACTATCTCAGGTTTAACCTGATAGGTTGCTCTCTGTATCTATAATTCATTACAACTCTTCTGCTAAGAATAGTCCTGAATTTGTCATGAAGTCATAAATTATATATAAACAATGTGATTCAGAAGTCAAAGTGGATTAGAGATAGCAAAGAATCTCAAATTGCCTCTAGCAAATTTCAGACTAAGAAGGAAAAATAATTTCTCTTACACAGAAGTTAAGAGCATTAGCTCTGGGACCAGAGCACCGTGACATGACTGCAGAGCCAGTGCTCTGATCTCCTAGTCGAGATGCAGGGAGTGGGGACATCAGCTCCTCCAGCCACCTTTACTCTTCCTAAGACTGTCTCCCACACAAAGGCTAACTGGGCAAGCACAACACATTAAACACTGAATTAGCCAAAAAAAAAAAATTGAAATTCTCATACATACCAGAACATTTGTAAAAGGGAGAGAAGCCTTGCATTTCACATTCTGATTCCTTGTTCGCTCTCCTCCTCTTATTTTGGAAGCTTTAACAACCACCCTCCGCAACCCAACCTTTCAGTGGTTTCCACCAGCAATTTAGGCCTGCCTGACTAACCTCCTTGAATTATAGGCTTCGGAGTAAACTCTCTGCAGGAGGACATAAATAGACTGTGGCTGGAGTTCTGCTTACAGAGGGGCCTAAAAAGCCAAAATCTCAAGTGCAAAGAACTCTGGACATTGGGAGACAGGAAAAATGGGTCCACTGTACGGTGCAATTCTGAAGCAAACTACCTGGAGTTAGGTCAGATTTCATAGCTTAAGAGCCTAGTCCCTACAAGACTGTACTTCAGTCACCCGCTGAAAATTGTGAGGTACCCAGGTTACCCATACTCTTTACCAACTGGCTATAAATTCAGGGTTGCCTATAAGCCCCTCGAGTTTGATAATTTGCTAGGACAACTTATAGAACTCAAGAAAGCACTATAGTTACAATTACAGTTTTACTATAAAGGGTACAAATCAGGACCAGCCAAATAAGGACACTTGTAGAGTGAGGACATGTCACCCTCCTAGCACAACAGTGTGTTTCACGGACCAGGAAGCTTACCCAAGACTCAGTGACAAGAGTTTTTATAAGGGTTTCATTCTGTCGACATGATTGATTGAATTGGTGGCGACAGGCTAGGGCTCCAAGGCCTCTTACCTCCAGGGAGGTTGGGAAGTCAGGCTGATATCAGAGCTCAAAGCCACATGATTGGTCTTTCTGTTATAGCCAGTCCCCATTCCTGAAACTATTTAAGGGCCCACGGAGAATCACCTCATTAGCATAAAATCAGGTATGGCCCCAGGGGCCTACCATGAATAACAAAGACACTTGCATCACTTGGGAAATTGTAAGTGTTTAGAAGTTCCCTTTTAGGAACCCAGGACAAAGATCAGACAAGTTCTTTATTATATAGCATATGGAAAATAGAATTAGAATTGGAACTATTTTAAGTCACCAAAAACGAGGGCCAAAAAATTATGATTTTTATGATGGAGAAACAACTGGAAAATGTCATTTGATTATAAAATAAATGGTCATTAAACATCATTAGATTCTTTTGTTTTTCACCCAGTTGTTCATTCATTCAACAATATTTATTATCTCCTGGGCTAATCATTGAAGATATACTGTTACATTGTCAATGAAACAAAAATGTTTCTTTGTACAGTTGACCCTTGAACAAAGTGAGGTTTAGGGGTGCCAATACCCCACACAGTCAAAATCCCACATATAACTTTTGACTTTCCCAAAACTTAACTACTAATAGTTTACTGTTGACCAGAAGCCTTACTGTTAAATAAACAGTTGATTAACACATATTTTATATGTTGTATGTATTATATACTGCATTCTACAATGAAGTGAACTAGAAAAAAGAAAATGTTAAGAAAATCATAAGGAAGAGAAAATACATTTACAGTACATATATGTATTTATTGAAAAAAGTACACGGACCCACACAGTTCAAACCCATGTTGCTCAAGGGTCAGCTGTATTACATGGAAAAGAGGAAGGATGAACTATTTGAAATTATTTGCTCAATTTTAATTCCAATTGTAATGAGCCTGAGTTCTGAGATAATCATTAATTTTGCTTGTCAAAAATGATGTTAAGAGAGCTCCCAAAGTATAAAATATTAGGCATCAAGTCTAGATTTATGAAGAATTTGGGGAGGTAGGGGATAATAGAAAAAATATGGATGTTGTTTGTTTAACCACAAGGCTGCCATTTGGCTTTATGTTTTTAAACAAAATCAAGAAGTGCTTTGAAATGTGATGTGTTTTAAACTGTTCTTTTTTTGCTTTCCTGTAATTGGAGCAACATACTAATTTCTACAAGTTGTGACTACTAACAGAGAGCAATCACCTCACAGACTTGTACCGAAGAGATGAAACCATCCAGGTGACAGGACACGGCCATGTGCAGAGTCCCCGCTTCCCAAACAGCTACCCCAGGAACCTACTTCTAACCTGGCGGCTCCATTCCCAGGAGAAAACAAGGATACAGCTAGCCTTTGACAATCAGTTTGGATTAGAGGAAGCAGAAAACGATATCTGTAGGTAAGTGGGAAATAAAATCCATTCTAGGGTAAAATTTCAAAGTAGAAAAAAAAGACAGATTTAAAACATCACATCAGACTTCTGTTTTGGGCCCTCCAGACCTATCCAAGATACTCGACTTCTTTTTCAAAAAGCCTTTATGTCAGTCCTAATGGACAAAATAAATTGGAGCTCGGACTGCCTCTGCAGAAAGCCTGGTAACCTGGCATGACTCACAGAAACTCACTCCTGCAATTGTCAGAGCCAGGCTGTGTGACTCCCAGAGAAGGGGGGAATCTGGGGGCCCCTATCTTGGCCAGGCATAGAACAACCCACTTTGTGAGCAGGTAGATGCATCCAATATCCTGGCTCACCTGCACCATGTCACAGGGCTCTGGTGCAAGCCTGCCAGGGCTTAAGGAGTGTATTCCCCTGCTGGGCTCCAGGAACTGACCCAGCACTGGGAGATGATGATGGCAAGGACCCTGTGAGGTCCTTACCTGAAATCGTAATTTTAAGGCCTCAGATATGTGTAAGAAGGAAGAGAAGGCCACCTCCCAGGATCAGTGTGCTCCTCAGAGGTCTGTTTCTTCCTGTAGTTTCTGGGTCAGCAGAAAATGAAAGCTACCCCTGATAATCTTCTCCCTTCTTAACATGTTTATCAGAGAAAGCCCTGGCTGTTGTTCTCTGAATTGTCAGCTCACAGGATCTTATTCACTTAATTAGCATGTGTAAGATGCAGAGGATTTTCTTTTTCCTTTCTGTACTTTACTGCACGAACTTGTTCTGCGTTGCCAATGAACTACTACTAAACTGCTAAATTCTTTCAGCAGGTTTATTTTACTTTGAATAATAAAAATCGGGTACTTCAAATTTGGCTGTCCTTTATTGCATGTCTATTATGCTGACAGCTCTTATTATGTTGCTGTTTTTTCAAGAATAACAGCAGTGACTGTTATTTTCTACGACCATAGAGGGTAATATATGCCAGAAAGCAGAGATAAATACATACAGGAAGAGCCAGTTAATATTTACAAAGAGAATAGCTTGAGGAGACCTTGTGTCTTTTCAGCCTTGAAAGGGAGAACTCATTTTCTGTGCTCAAAAAAAAAACAAAGACCTTGGAAACAAATGAAAAGCTACTATTATGGGGATATATGTATACTTATAGCTGATTCACTTTGTTGTACAGCGGAAACTAACACAACATTGTAAAGCAATTATACTCCAATAAAGATATTTAAAAAAAAAAAGATTATTAAAGGTGATGTCATTGAAGAGACACTGGTCTCCACTGCAGAGCAGGATTTTGATCTGGTAGTGATTGAGCCCTTTTGGTGTCCTGACCTTAAAACTAGGAGAGGAAGTTAGGATGGTTTCTTTTCCAGACCCTTCATCAAATCAAGTTGCTCCTAAAAATTTATGGAGGGAGGTAGAGAAGTAAGAGGTAAAGGGGAGAGGAAGCAGGGAAAAGAGGCAGATCAGAGACCTGCCTCAGGACCCTCCCTGAACCAAAATGGTGCTCTTTTGACTTCAGACCCAGAGTAAAAATTGTGCTGATGTTGTGTTTTTTAAAAAACAAAAGTGACCTCTTGCATTATTAACAAAGTTTCAAGTATATTCTTGCTTTGTGCAATAAATATGATTCACATATATTGTATATAAAATGAAATGCAATTGATTTCCTCCCATTTGTTCCAAACCTCCTTGATGTTTACACTGTAATATTTTATTGCTGGAATAGCGATTCTTTCTTAGTGCTTTTTACTTTTCAACACCGTATATTAAGTAGTTAATTTACATAGCACTCAAGAGATATTCAGCTGGTAAAATTACATAAACCTTCTTATTTTACTCATTAGGAAACTGAGGCAGAGGACATAAAGGCCTCACAAATCACTGTCAATGAAATTTAGTAACCATTTTATTATGCTCGCTGCCTCCTTAGATCACCCTGCCTGATCCAATAAGAGCTCTGAGGTCCGTGGGTAAGACCAGTAAAGTTGTATTGGATTTTCTTCATATTCAGACGTGTTGGTTCTCATGCTGATTCCTTTTGGCAATCGTGACAGGAAAATACAAAATGGATATGAGACTTCTGCCACTGTTCACCTTCAATGCTCACCCTGCGTGCTCGTTTGCATTGTGACTTTGGCATCTGAAGTCATTTGAGGAGAGGTAGATTGGAGGAGTGAGACATTGATGCCCAGAACTGAAAGGCACAGAGTTCAGCTCTCAAGCAGAATGTTTTAAGATCTTAGGTGTCTGAAAATAGAATAAATGATCCCTAGAAGATGTCAGCTTGGTCACTGAAGTTGTCCTATTATGTGATGAAAAAGTGAGACGCTGTGGAGGGATTCTGAGGATCAAACGACTCTGTGGAATATCTAAAATGCCTCTCCTGTCTTCTTCAATCCTGGGATTCAGTGTTTCTTTGACTGGTGCCAGTGGTGAACCCATGGTCTTACCCTCATTCGCACATAGCCCAGATATTTCCAATATTGGCTAGTGCACATCCCTCCTCAAAGTCATGTGTTTCCATTATGATAAATGTCATAGTTTATGATATGATCCTTCCAAAAGACAATTTCCAAAAAGAGAAAATAGTCTTTTATTTTACCATTTATTTTCTACAATGAGAGTGCTGGTTTTATGTGCTGTATAGGTATAGATCATTTCCTTTCTTAAGGAAACACTGGATGTGGTAAATTAATTCAAAGTGGGAATTTGTTTAAAAACTTGTTATAGTAAATATTTGGGTATATAATTAGAGCTACATCTCCTAAAATATGGCAATAGATTATACTTGTTAGTTTTTCCAGGAAAACCTTATGAGGCAGATGCTCAGAAAGTAGCCCATTTTGATTTTTCATGATTTAGGAAGAGTTATGGCTAAAAGTGTGTAAGGGTGTTTCCTCAGAATAGATTGTTGAAGTTTGAATTTGAGAAACCTAATCCAAAAACTAGTTTTCCTTCTAAAATATCTGTAGGTTATAATTTTCATTTCAGATGATAGGTCACGAGAAATCACATATGTTAGTTTCAATTTCTCAGTGAAAGTATGAATTTCAAAGTCTTCTTTAATCAAAGTTTATGTCAAATTGGTACTAGGTATGATTTTGTGGAAGTTGAAGATATATCTGAAACCAGCACCGTTATTAGAGGACGATGGTGTGGACACAAGGAAGTTCCTCCAAGGATAACATCAAGAACAAACCAGATTAAAATAACATTCAAGTCTGATGACTACTTTGTGGCTAAACCTGGATTCAAGATTTATTATTCTGTTGTGGTAAGTAGCTTAACCACCCTATGATTAAAAGCAAACACTGGTTACTTGAAGTATAGAGATCGTTTTCTGTGATTAAATTCAGTGGTGTGAGAGTGAATGAACTGTGTTAATTGTCTATGGTATGCTTTGTCCCTGCCTTGTGGCCAAAATGTTAAAGACTTCTTTAGTGAGAAATGCCATTTTAGCTCTATTAAGTCAATGCTTGGGCCCATGTATTTTGAAAGAAAGCATGGTGAATAGAAAAAGTAAAATAGTTTATGGTAAAGCATATACCATATTGCCTTTGATTCAACTGGAGCAAAATAAATATACAGCCAAATAGAAGGTAAGTGAGAATTGAACCTCTTGGTTTGAAAAATTGTCTATGTAACTCTAATCACAGAAGAGTCCCAATGATTTTAGTTTAAATTATGACTCAAATTTGGGAAGGGCTTATGTTATCATCATAGAGCCTCAGGGTTAGCAAGTATCTTAAAAATTGGAAGGTATAATTCAGGACCCAAGGTTTGATTTTTGTTTACTACACCCATGCTTATTTGTGGTCTCACCTCTACTTAAACACCGCAGCAGCCATTTCCAACTTTATATGGTTCTAACTATTAGAAAATCTTCAACCTCATATTGTGGCATAATCTGCCTTGTAGTTAAGTCTAGTTGTTGGGTCACACATGGTCATGGGTCTTCTTTACTCAGTCATTCATTAGTAGAACAATATAAAGTTCCTTCTTATTGACAAATATTCTGATAGGTGTAGTAGATACAAAGGCAAGCAAGAAGACAGGGTTCTTGAACCTCCTGGAGCTGATAGTCTGGTGGAAATGACAATTAGAAGCCATAACAACTGAGAATGATAATAAGACGGAAGTACTGGGTGTTACAGATGAAGCTCAGGGGGATATTGGGATAATTTCGCCTATACATTACGTTTAGGATACATTAAATATCCCTGAATCCTTCAGTTGTTCATAGCATATTGCCTTTTGCTCTCCTGGCAACGTCTTTAACTCTCATTCAGTTTATTGCTATCTCTTTTCAAAGTGTGGATGCCGAAACAGAACACAGTACTACAAATGGAGTCAATATGGGGGTTATTTTTCCTCTTATGAGTTAAATTTAGAGTAGGAAAAGTCTTGTTTTTTTTAATCTAATGTGGTTTCTTTTCTCTTTTTTTTTTTGCATTATGATGAGTGGTTAAACACAAAGTGAATTCTACATCAGAATACTATAAATGAAAAAATAGCATTTGGTGATACTGGTTCCAGTTTTAATTAGAAAATAATCCATCAAGCATGATATACATTATTGCACACTCACGCAGTGCTGCTCAGCATTAAAGTGGAAGTGTGAACCTTTGGTTTCTACATTTCTTTGCTTTTAATGTGTTCAGTGATGCATCTGTTCTCAATTGTTCATGGACAAAGCAGGCTCAGCATGTTGGAATGGTGATGTGTCAGAATGGCTTAGTGAAGGATCTTTTTTCCCCTTAACATATCAAGGCCTGTTAGTGCTCATGTGTATACTTTTTGTGAAGCTTTGGTTATGACTAAGTTAAATGGTCCGTAAGTCAGTTAGAAACACCTTAACTCTAATACCATATCTTTAAGGCAAAATAACTCCTTTTTGTAGAAAAAGGCAGTGCAGGTGTGGATTTAGGGAAGAAAGAATTTTTTTTTTGAGGTGCTTTGGGTTACAGTGCAGGCTCATCACTCATTTCCTAGCCAATGTTAAGTGGAATATGGGACAGCCTTTGTAGTATGGATGTAAACTGTTCGGCATGACTCCACTCACTCACTTATTCACCTCCACCAGTACATTCAATTGTGCTTTTAGAAATGATGATAGTCATAACTTTTTTGTTATACAGCCTCTTGGTCTGCATTCATTGCAAATAGCTCCAGGCTCTCTTTCCGCTTCTAACTGGCTTCTGGCACTAAATATGATCAATTAGGGCCAAAGTGCTTTGGTGGCTGAATTCCAAGAGGTAGAGTGAGCTTAACCTTCAGGTGTACATAAACTCTAGATCTGTGTGGCTAAAGATAAACTCTTGCATTTGATTCTTGTTCAACAGGGATCATTTATGCCTTGACCAATGTTTTGGAAAGGTCATTTTATTCATGTTTAAATTTTTCTTGGAGAAACTTTAAAGCAGAGTTTATGAACTCAAATGCTACAGAGCCCAGACTTAAAATTCATAGCGAGCCAGATATAAAATTAGAGAGAGACAGTGGGATTAAAAATGGCAAACCCCGATGTATGTAAGTCAAATGATTTTGCTGTACACCTGATACAGTGCCATATGTCAATTATATCTCATAAAACTGGAAAAAACGGTAAGCCTTCTTTAAGTATATTTAAATAATGATTTTAAAAATGTTGTACAGGCCCACAAAGCCGGTAGAGTTTGGAGGCAGCTGTTTTGCAATACCTCCTTTAAGGAATGGCAGGTGCTGGGGAAATTTGAGCAATAGTTCCCAAGCAATCACAGTGCTCTTAGAAAATGGCAAGTAGCTATTTGGATAGGTAAAGACCACCCCCCTTCTCATCTCTACCTTTCTATCTCTCAGCCTTCCATCAAACATTTCTCTTCTTCCTACCTTAGTGACTCTCCAGTTGTACAAGGGCCTCCCCTGAGGCTGTAAGTTATAGGTGCCCAGGACCATAAGAGCCCATTACACTGGAATCACATCTACATGGTTCATGCTTATGACTTTTTTGGGATACCAAGTCTAGTGTACATTTTTAGTCATTTTTTTCACTCCAGCAAAGTGTGGGAGACTGACTAATGGTTAACATCCTGATCACTTATTTTTGGTTAGCAATTATTCTTATATTACAATTTTGTTTGGTGTGCTTGGAATTCAATTGTCTACCTTTTTTTTACAGCATATAGGGCAAGGCAGCACAGCCATAGGGGACCAGAGCTTTGCTGTAAAGCACACTTTGGATCAAAGGAAATTTCCCAAGTTACTAATGGTGCGATATAGAATGGGTCTCTTACCTTTTGGTTTTACATCCATAAAATGGGGATAATAATTGGAGTTGGTGTGAGATTTTAAATTAATAGCAAATACTTATCATAGCACCTAGGATATAGTGGAAGTGCTCAATAAATAATGGTGATAATGATCCTACCTTTACCATCACAAATTGTGTGTGTGTATGTGTATATATATATATATATATTCCCTCTAGATAAATGGTAATGAACTATTTGAGGGTAGAACAAGCATCCTGTGTGTATTACACACAGTGCCTTATACATGGCTAGACAGTGTGTTTGTTGAATTGACTCTTCCAGAGAAAATATGATTCAATTTCATATTTCAAGTTTTTGCTCTCCTACTCAGCTTTCTTTCCTAATTTCACTTTGCTGAGGAGGATAGATACCATCAGAGGGCATAATGAAGCAGAATGGATAATGTTATCAAATTGTTATCAAGATGTGTTTGTCTCAATAAATTAAGCTCTCCCATCTCAAATCTAGTTTATTGGGGAATGAATGGATGGATTGGATTGTTAGGAATCTTTTTTGGAAGACCATTAAGTAGTTTATTGGAAAGGTGTCCAGTTACAAGGCTCCCAATGGATGGTGTGCAAAGAAGTCAGCAAGCACGGGTGTATGAATTTCAGCTCTGCTGCTCACTGGCTACAGGCTCAGTTTTCTCATCTGTAAGATGGTGATAACACTGCCTGAGACACAATTAACTAGTTGTAGAATTAAATTAGATAATTTTGTAAGCCACCCTGCCTGGAACTTAGTAAATTACTCAAATATCTGCTGCTCTTATTGTTATCATTATCACTGGCATAATAATTAATATATCATCAGGTGATAAATGAACTTGGCAGTCCTGTACAAACAGCCCAGCTGTCAGTGTGTGTGTGCATACACATATACACACACGTCTGACTGTAATTCACCTCCTTCATCCAAGGTAGAAGCATTTTATTGTATATTGTGACAAACATTTAAAAAGCCTTTTATTTGTGTGTGTGTTTAATGGAAAGAACATTTTTTTAATTCAAAAATTATTTCTAATTTTTTTATTGAAATATATTGATAAATGATTTACAATATTGTGTTAAAATAAAAAATTAAATTATTTGAAAGCTATTCCCAAACTTTTTTGTTTTATTAACAAATTCTAGTTTATTTCATAAGTTGAATTTACTAATACTCATTCTAAACACTTTCTAAAATAAAAAAGCAATTTTATCACCAGTTTTTTAACTGTGTATCTCTGCAGTTCGAATTAACTTCAAGTGGCACAGTTAAGATTGCCATTGAGATTAAAACTCCACATGAATCATGGCTTTGCATTATAAATATTTTTTTTTAATAGAGGAAGAAAGGGAAGAGGATGGAAAAGAAGATAAGGATGCAAAGAGAAAGGAGGAATAGAACCAGTGAGTTAATAAATAAGATTCTCAGTTATAACAACTTTCACAGATTCTAATTTTGCTCACCTAAAACTTACCAGTTGGTGAAACAAAAACAAAATAATGGTGGACAATTCATTATTATTCCCCTAAACTAATTCTCAAACAAAGCTAGAGAGTAAAGGACCTCATTCACTTTCTCTACAAAATGTGGAAATTCCATCTTTATTTGCGTAGTCAGATAAAAATTGTTGAAGGCTTTGAATATCCATGGGCATTCTGACCACTTCAGCCAGGACTGTATATAGAGCCAAGGATAGTCAAGGTGAGGGTGGTAATCACATAGCAGATTCTGTTTACCTCAGCTTCTACATTTTGGTATATCCTTCTGGAGGTCTGGTGATATGAGAGCTGCGGTATTATTTATTAAATGCCTACTGTGTGCTAGACCAAGCGAAGTCTAGGGTCCTGGAGATACAGCTATGAGGAGGATAGGCAGATCTCTGTCCTCATGATCTCATATGGTAGCAGAAGGGAGCAAGCAATAAACATTTAAGTAAATAGAGAAGTAAGTACATACATACAAAGATAAATTTTCTGAAGTTCAATAAAAGCTAGAA